AGTCAAGAACTATGGCTGTGAGTAAGGAGTAAATACTGTAGTAAAGAGTATCTTTCTGAAGCTGGCTGCATAAAATGCAGGTAGAACATACAATCAGTAAAGGTGTCTGGCTGTGCAATGAGTCCCATTTAATAACTCTTGTTATAAATCTTGTAATCTTACTCTGTCACATTTCTTAATCCCTCTGTAGGAAAAAGAATGTAAGAGTAACCATACACAGAATTTCAAACTAATTTGCTTACACCAATTACTATAACTTCGAAGACTTAACTATGCACTTTGTACTACAACACAAATAGTGAGATACACAGAAGAATAAATCTAATTTATATATATAATTAGCTAGCTCATGTTCCAATGAAACACAAAAAGACTTCTACCAATACCATTTAAACATTAAAGAACTACAAACATATCCAAAACCACTAAGTGCCATGAGATTCTTTTATACTAAGCATTTCCTTGTGTCAGAGCTTTGCTCCAGATTTAGAATGAAGAAATTCTCCACAGCAAGGAGCAAGGTCACTTAACAGACATTGATGGCTTCTACAACAGGCAGAGTAATTTTGTGTTTTCCTTCCCTGAAAGAAATCACCAATTTCATGATCATCATGGACTTGCATTTTTCTAAGGTGCTCTATCAATCTCTCTTTCACTCTTCATGCCTTTACTTGCCTATTTATGGTTATCTCTAGATCCATTCTTCCTTTTTGCTACATGAATCCTGCTTACAGCAAACTTAAAAGCAAACACAATTATATGAGTGAAATGATATGAGGTATAGGCAGTGACCTGCTCATGGAAGTTAATACTTGCCTTTTTGGTATGGAAAGAATACTGTTGACATTTAATGTATGTTTGATATGTGATGTTATAGAAGCCTAAACTTGAAAGAGCAAGTAGATGCTGTTAAAAGGATGTTCCAGATGTAACTGAGGAAGTATACACCAACATTATATTAAAACACACAGACTGAATAGACTAGGCAGGGAATAATCATTAGCCTTGGGAGTATTAGCTAGGCAAATTTTGCTGTCATTAACATCTACAATTTAATGGTATTAAAATCTTTTATCTTTTTTTAAATGTCTATGAATATATCAATCTCATACTAGCATCTCTTCAGAGAAGGAAATAAAGGTTAGCCTACAACATCGTATACAATATTAAAATAAATGTAGCTTAAATTAAAGTGCTTCTAATATTAAGTTACTTACTCTTCAATAGTCCTCCTAGGAATAAGTGAAAAGTTTTTGTGTATACATTGTATGAAATTCTTAAAATATTAGTCTACAAAAAACCCCAAGAAAAAGCAGAAGAATGGACTCAGTTCAACCACTGTAACTTCATTTTTAAACTTTAAATATGTACCTTTTCCCAGATTACTAATCCAAGATAAATATCAGTAGTGCAGAAAACTATGATAACTGTGATACAAACATTTAAAAAAATTAAAACAATAATTTAAACCTCATAGGTACTGATCATAATTTTCGTCCCTGAAATCTGATCCTAGCACATCCATCTTGCCAAAATTACTTCAGCGATGCTCCTTGAAGACCATTTAGCATGTGGACAATGATACACCTGCATCTAATTAATTACACTAATTGTAAGGACAGCAACAGGAAGTGATCAGTGTTAGGAACTTCTTATGCAGTACTCACAGCTTTTCAGAAAGCTGTTTGTTTTTTTTTAATGGAAAATACCTTTGAGTTTTTTTATAATGGGATAGTTGCTAGCCTTCTGCTTCCAACAGTTGTGATTTGTTTTTATTCCCACAAGCTGTCCAGATCCTCATACTGTCTTTCTTACTGCTGTATTTACTAGAATTATCTACAAATATCACAAAGAAAATATTACCTTAGTGAAGGAAATGAATAAACAGCACCTATGATCAGTTAATGCTCTTTTAATACATCTTGTCTACTTACTTCAATATTCAGGAGTGAAAGTTAAGACTGACATTTCAAAAGCTGAAGAAGATACCAGTTCACAGCTTGTTTGTTATAGAGCCAGATAGGTTTGAAAAGTTCCTGCACCTGAACCTCTTTATATCACCTACTCATTTGAGAGATGCCTATAGAAAACATGACTTGTTTCAGCACAATATAAGTTGGTATAAAATATCAACAACTAATCAGACTTTTTCCACCTTATATTAAGCGTGTTCTCTACAAAATGCTTGTGCTTCTATTTTAACATCTAAAATAAATGTGAGGTTTTGTATTCTGAAACAACAAGTAACATGCAAATATGATTGATGATGCTGAAAGTTTTCCAGGGAATTTAGTGAGGCTTGATGCTGCTCAATTATTGCATTGTCAGAGTCTTCTTATTTGAATTTCTACCTGAAGGCTTATTTGTAGTATAACTGAGAAACCTATCCTTTTTGTAAAATCATACAAAAAGTTTCCAAGTAAGTAAGCAGGTAAATACAAAAAGGCTTTAATCATATAGACCTTCTTTAAGGAAGCTCAAATGTCATCTGACTAGGTCCAGCTTATTTTAGTCAAACTGTACAGCTGTCAAAAAGTCTGTAAACACCTACTCACATGACTTGGACAAATGAAGACAACTTCATGAACATTTCAACACTTTATTCATTTTTTCTGTCAAGTAACTAAAACTTTAGTTTAAAAAAAAAAGTCAACACAGATCAAACCCACCTTTAGTTAAATGAATACTATAGATAGCCTATTGTTTCATCCTCCCACTCCTTTTCTGTTCTGAGACCTGCACTCTTGAAATTGTCAGTTTACTATAGTATTTGGTAATACTACACAGCCATGTGTGAATCCCAGGCTAACAAATAAATGGATCTCCAAATGCTATCACATTAGAACCTCTTCAATACCGCCCCTTCTTAGTTCTTTGTAGTCCAGCTCGTTGTGCAAGTGTAATCCCCTCTCAGCCTTATCTTTCAGCTCTTATGAATAGCACAACCTTCAGTTCCAGTATTCCAGCAATGATGCTTTTCTACCTAGTTTCCAGCTATACTGTAATTAGTTGCACTTGTATTAATACACTAAAATTGGGATGTATCTTTTTCTATGGGTTATCCTGTCCCAAGACACTTCTTTACACATTTTTATCTTCTCCTTACTTAATTTTCCTCCCTCCTCTCCACGTAGAGGGATTAACATGACGGTCATTTCCAAATTCCTGTTGTTATCACCTGCTTCAAAATGGTAATTTGTCATAACAGCCTGATCCCACAGGGCCACTATTTCAGCTGAGCAAACAGAGCTAAAAAAGCCCCCTTTGAAGGAATGCAAACAAACTTCTTTGAACAGTCCTCTTTCAATTAATGCTTCCTTCAAACATCTCAAAATTCTCCTAATAATATGTATCTAGAGAACCATGAAGTCTTCATTATTTTCACAAAGATGACAATAACTCATGAGTTTGCCTCAACCTCAGTTTCTTTAAACATCTTTCCTACTTAGCTTAGTGTAGTCATCATTAACTTGTTTCACCAGAATTCAAAGTTATCACTTATCCTGATACAAAGAACAATCAGTGGACTCCATGCCACTATTATCAGGATGTTTTTACCCCAAGTTTCCAGTGCAGATTCTGGCAAGCTACACATACTTATTTCAAGATCTCTTCTCATATATGGCTTCTCTATTTTTATTAAGGATTTCCAGTTGTAATGGTCTTGGATGTTTAGCTGAATATCTTTTAATTTTTTCCACTGTTTTAGATCATGAAGCCTTCTAACCCTTTTTCCAGTCCTCTGCATGT